CGGCCAGCTAAATATAAGGCATGCGTTCAACATGACTCGAGGCCCAACAACGGTCGGTCCTTAATCGACACAGACGGAAAGCACTACAGTCCAAAACTCTGTAAGTCTCTGTCCGGTCTCAACTTCATTTAACACTTAGTTATACCATGACTACATAGTTCTCCAAGCAGATCCAGGTAACCACCTATAGCTCGCAGGTGACAGGAAATCACCCGACTTCTACCGGTCTAAGCCAGCTAAGCATTGACTCGACTGCAGATACCAGGGTAACAAGGATATAGTATAACAAAGGTAAACAAGGTATAATGCAGCAACGGTTGCAAACAACTCCTGAACGTAATGCATCAATTAAAGTAAAGCATTTAATTAATAATTGCAAACCGGGGAGAAAAATGCTCCGGGGCTTGCCTCTCTCGAAGGAGCTCGGGCGGTGATCGGGGCACTCCGGAAGTTCCTCAACGTCCTCGTCTGCTTCGGTCACTTCCTGCGGCTGCACCTCGAGCTGCTCCTCGGGCTCCTCGGGTATGACGACTGGGCTCTCGGTTTACGATCCTGTATGATGCTTGTGCGTAAGTGCTTATGCAAAAGGTGCATCGGATGAGGTGAACACAATGGGTATGCTTGAATGCAAAGTAGTCAACATCATCCAAAAACATGTACTACAAGCACATGTCATCTACTGCATTCTCTTCTACTACTAATATGCTAAGTCAACACATCTCATTAAATGCTTCAAAGATACACCAAAGCTTCACTAATTTCTTAATCATGCATAAAGCAACATTTGATTAAACCCTAATTAGTAATAGGTTTGAATAGAAACATCTATTTTTATAGCTTAGAAAAATCTTAGAAAATTATCATAGCACAGTACTACCCTAAGTAGTCTACCCTTAAATTTTTATGGCATTTGGATAAGTGGATTAGCCTACACAAAAATGACAAGCTATGGCATAATTATGAACATGAAAATACTTTGTACTGTGAAAAGTGTCAAACAACAGATGAAATATTTTTCTTATGTTCTACACAGTAAATAATCACTGCACAAAAATTATCACATGCATGTTTTATACAAATTCTGCTCTCTAGCAAAATAACAAAAATCAGCCATTAAAGGCACTTGAACTACACCTCATAATTTTTCTACAGGACATGCATGGAATATATTTTTCCTAGGAAGTACATTACACAAGAAGAATAACACACTTGGAAGCATATTTTTCTGAAACATATAGGTTTTACTACACATTTTACAAGATATCAGCAATATCAAGGATTAAATAAAGCTCTACATTAAAGTATCTCAAAACTGACATGCAATATTTTTATCCAGTAGATCTGGTGACAAGAAACACCACGAAATTTGTTCTCATTCGATTTGGACCAAAAATGACCAAGATATGGTTTTTCCAAGCTTTAAACCAAATCTAAAAAATCATTTCGAAAACAAAATCGAACCCTAACGGCTACGCGTACCCGGCGCTGTACACAGATCCGAAACAAAACGCTAGGTGCACCCGGACCTATTCGCACCATCAGCACTGACAGGTGGGACCCAGCGGTCAGCCGGCCCCACGCGTCAGCGAGACAGAATAGAGGAGGCGGCTCGCGACGGCGCGGCGACGGCGAAGCTCGCCGACAGCGGCTTCTCCAGCGACGGCGGCGATACTACAAGCATGGCTACTACATCCCGAACACATTGAGCTAACTAATTGGGCTTATGACCGAAGCTAGCTACCACGACGGCGGCCATGGCGTAGTGGCGGTTCGGGACGACGGTGAGACGCCAGAGGCAACCGTGATGACCCAATCTAGGGCTCGGCCATGCTTCCACGAGCTACTGCGAACCTATTGCGCACTCTATCAAGAAACGTGGTGGTCTGAGGTGACCGGGCCACGGCGACGTACCACGGCGACGAAAGATCGGCGAGGTCCGCACGGGGCACGACGGCTCGCCGGGCTACTTTAGCGAGCAAAAGCTGGTGAGGTGAGGCGGTGGGTCACGGAGGAGCGACTGTGATGGCGAACGATCAACGCGGGCGAGCTGGTGCGGGCAATGCCGATGGCGACGGTGGTGGTCTGCGGCGGCTGCTGCGTTGCTACGAAGGGAGGAGTAGGGAACCGAATGAGGCGCTGGGATGGGGCGGGCGTGTGGGGGTTCAAGTCGTGGCCAGCAGTGCCAGGACGGCCGTGGCGCGTGGCCGCGCGGTCAGGAGTCCGGCGACGGGTGGCGCCACGCGGCGGTAAGCTTCTGCCGGCGTCAGGACGCAGGCACGTGAGTGCGGGCGAGCGGGAGGCGCGGCGTGGGCCTGGGCCGGCAAAGCGGCTGCTGGGCCAGGGCGAAGCGCGCGGCGCTGCGGGCCGAGTCCACGAGCGGGCCAGAAGGGAGGCGGCGACCTGTTAAGCGAAAATGAAATAATTTTCTTTTTATTTCTCAGATAAACAGAACTCAAATTCCATTTTGAGCCATTTAAAAGCATTTTCACAAATTGGTGTAAAAATGAAATTTGTTCCATTTTTCAAGATCTACAACTTTGCTTTTATGACCAAAGTCAAATTCCAAATAGATTTTGAATTACATAATTAAGATCAATATTAATTCAAAACCCAATTTTTGAAGAATTGTTTTTAAAAGCATAATTTGGCAAAATTTTGAATATAAACTTTGCTTCAAAATGCATTCTAATTACTTCTAAGTGGTCTAAGTGATCAACCAAGGTACACACATGGCAAAACAAACATAGCATCCAATCTATTAAAACAAGACTATACACATACATGTTTCATTAATATATTTCAATTCTATATTTCATGTCATGCTTATGAATGCATAATAATGATTATGATCACGATTTGAAAAATGTTAATGCATGCTTAACACCGAGGTGTTACACCTTCCTGGCCATTTCATCGAGCTCTACATTCTGTCATTGGATGATAAACAAACAAATGAATGTTCTCTGTAGCACAAAAGTAAAATTTCACATTCAATCAAACTACGAGCTACAACAGACCCAACTAAAGATATGAACAATGATGCAGCCAAGCTGCTGATCACTGAAACCTCCTATGCATGGTGGTGACGGAGGTTGCCTGCTGCAGAACTGATGAAAACCAAATGCATTTGCTGCTAATGTCACCTGCAAATAGAGACTCAAACTGACAAGCTACTACTCGTATTTAAGAATTGAGTGATATAATAGGTAGTGCTAATCCCTATACTGATAGCTAGTCAAAATAGTATAAACTTCTTCTTGGACCTTGCTTATCAACGAGTTTAGCCACTGTTTTTTTCATAAACAATAATTGCAGTGTGAAAATATCAAACACGGCAATCCTTACCAATCTCAAGTGTCGATTTTATTCTTGAAAGCATAGTTAGCAGAAACAGAGGGCACTTCTTCAAATGTCATACTGAAAACTTGCTACCACTTTGTGCTGCCCGATCAATCTTGACACTACGACAGTTGTTAGATCCACTGTAGGTGCAAACAATTTTGACCATTTTTGGATTCTAAGTTTTTGCAATTCTGAACAAACCATACAAAATTCTATCTAGATTATATATATGTAAACTAAAATTCACCAAGATAATTAATGACTGCAAAATGTGAAAGGACTCATTTACCACATCTGTAATCTGAAACTACTCTGAAAGGGAACTGCCCCTTCTTCCCACTCTGAAATCTCAAACTACAGTAACTATGATACTAATTGGATGCAACTTGAAAGGACCCGTGCCAAGGGAATCTAATTTCTTGTGGCAAGACAAGTTATATACGACAAAGACTGCAGAAAATCATATCTGAATACAAATGACTCCAGGGTTCGTGTGCTCGGTTTCGCACAGCACGAAGGGAAGAGAAGAGTTGGCATACCTATTGGGTGCTCGTCGCCGATGAAGGGCCCGATGTAGACCTGAGCACCTTGCGTTCGTGTGGCGGCATCTTCTCCTCCTCAGTGATCCATCCTAGGAGAAGGGAATGATAGGTGAGGGTCGGGCATGGGCGAGGCGGCGGCATAGGTTGAGGATGGCCTTGCGGCTGTGGCTCGGCCTTGTGGCGGCGGCGCGGCAGAGCGGAACGGGGCACGGCGGCGGCGGCGACATGCGACGGTGCGGCGAGTGTGACGGCACGGGCGCGACGAGCGCAAGGGTAGAGCGAGGGGAGAGGGAGAGGCACAGTGGAGAGGGATTGAGACCGGGGGCTGCGGGAGAGAAGGGCGAGGGCGTAGGGGAGAGGGATCGCAGGGGTGATGACGGCGAGGACCGGCCGCGACGGTGATGACGGGGGCGGTGGATGAGGACGACGCGCGTGGAGAGAGCCAGTTGTCGCACGTGTACTCGTCCTGCCGGGTAGATGCGGGGTCGCATGACCTATCGTCCTGCCAGGTAGATGTTGACCGTAGGGATTTTTTTGTTGTAGAGATACACCGTCGATGTATATGTGTCGGCCGGTGGTCACGACAAACGGCAAACTCCATATAGCCTCTCTGCAAAACGAGCACGCATGCATGCATGTTCTAGAGATTATTTTAGCACAAGGCTTTTAGGTGACAAAGCCAAGGTGATGGGGGCAGGCAGATGCGAGCATTATACAAGCGCCGCGTCACGTACTTCTGCTGCTGTCCGTTCTGTACGTGCACCAGCTGATCGAGCCGGTGAGGTCAACATGCATGCATAGCATAGTGTTTAGGTTGTACTTACCCTGCGAAAAGCTAGATGGAGGAGGTGGAGGTCAGAGGTGGAAAGACCTGCCATGCATTACCGTACCGGCTCCCCCAATCCTCAATAACTAATCACTACGAAATTAGTTTACCAGATCGATCATGCTTATCATTCCATTTCAAGCTTGTGGTTTTGTCCTATAAATACGTGCTCATTCCACACTTCGTTAAACCAACTCGATCGAGCAAAGCAGCTAGCTAGCTAGTACCATCGCTTGCGAGTAGTGTGAGCTAGCTGCAGAGTGATCGGGACGTTGTTTGAGTAGCTAATAATGGCACGGCGACAGTGGAGCAGCAGCGGCTGCGGCCTCGCGGTGGCGATGCTCGCCGTGCTGTCGTCCGTGCTCTGCTCGGGGCACCAGGTTCCGGGCGGGGGGTTCCCGCTGCAGCCGCACTTCTACGACCACGCGTGCCCGCAGATGCAGGCCATCGTGGGCTCCATCGTGGCGAAGTCGCACGCGGAGGACCCGCGCATGGCGGCGTCGCTGCTGCGGCTGCACTTCCACGACTGCTTCGTGCAGGGCTGCGACGCCTCCGTGCTGCTGGACTCCGACGGCAGCGGCAGATTCATATCCGAGAAGCGCTCCAACCCCAACAAGGACTCGATCCGCGGCTTCGAGGTCGTCGACGAGATCAAGGCCGCGCTGGAACACGCCTGCCCGCACACCGTCTCCTGCGCCGACATCGTCGCCGTCGCCGCCAGGGACTCCGTCGTCCTGGTACGCACCAATACGAACTAATTAATGCAGCGTCGTTCAGCATCGTTGTCTATCCACCGTTGTCGATTTATTTACATTATTACTCCGATGGTCGCCGCCGAACTGCATGCAGACCGGCGGACCCGGCTGGGAGGTGCCACTGGGGAGGAGGGACTCGCTGACGGCGAGCCTGAGCGGCTCCAACAACCTCATCCCTGCGCCCAACGACTCACTCCCCAGCATCATCGGCAAGTTCGCCAACCAAGGCCTCGACGTCGTCGACCTCGTCGCGCTCTCAGGAGGGCACACCATCGGCGACTCGCGCTGCGTGAGCTTCCGGCAGCGGCTGTACGGGCAGAACAACAACGGGCAGGTGGACCGGACGCTGAACCCGGCGTACGCGGCGGAGCTGCGGGGGCGGTGCCCGCGGTCGGGCGGCGACCAGAACCTGTTCGCGCTGGACCCGGCGACGCAGTTCCGGTTCGACAACCACTACTACCACAACATCCTGGCCATGAACGGGCTGCTCAGCTCCGACGAGATCCTGCTCACGCAGAGCCGCGAGACCATGGAGCTCGTCCACCGCTACGCCGCCGACCAGGGCCTCTTCTTCGACCACTTCGCCAAGTCCATGGTCAAGATGGGCAACATCTCGCCGCTCACCGGGAGCGCCGGCGAGATCAGGCACAACTGCAGGAGGGTCAACCACTTCTAACTTCTAAGGAGGATGCATATATGACGTGCGCCTGCTGCTTGGCCGGCTATCCGTGGTGGTCTTATGCTTTGATGAATTCATTCTGGATGCATTTTGCTTCGTGTTTCATACTTGGATTTAAGTAGTGTGCAGGAGTCGTAAATGATTGAAATTTCTGTTTTAATTTGGTGCCGTTCGATCTCGAGTTGATTTTTCACTCATGTAATTTGCAATTCGTGTACCAAGAAATGATCCAATAAAATTCAGCGTCTGTGTCATTTGCTAACACTATGTAAAAAAGCCACATATTCACCACGTCACCATATATGCCAACACTAAAGCGCGTCTGCAGTAGCTCAAATACAAACGCGCCTTTCTAACACGCGTCTGTAGTAAGTCGCCGGCGGGGTCGCCGGTCCGACGAGGTCAACACGCGTATGTAAAAAGCGCTTACTACAGATGCGTGTTGGTAAAACGCGTCCGTGACAAAGCTACATACGCTCGTTTATATACCGCGTCTGTATCTGCATCAATTATTATAGACGCGTGTTGTGATTTCTGAGTCTCAGATAACAGGATCAAACCCTACGGACGCACGTACGAGACACGCGAATGTAGTTAGATCTCTTATTGCAGATGCGTAAGATGTTGCAGACGCATGTTTCCAGCATGCGTCTCTAGTATTCCTGCTTGTAGCAGACGCGGCCTGCTCTATACGTGTCTGTACTTTATTTTAGACGTATGTTCCATATGCGTGTCTATAGTACTTGACTGTGTACTTAGCCGTTGGCACGTGCTAACGGACAGAGGGAACTTGGCGCGTACGGATCACAGCGGGCAGTGGCCGTGGATTCTTGCGTGGCTCTCATGGGGGCGACGCACCGCACGGCGCAGACCTGCGGCTTTGAGGCGCGCGGGCGGAGTTGGCGGGCGGCGGGTAGACTTGTGCGCCGTGAGCGCAAGCGGGCGGCGGAAGGAGGGCCGCACGGCAGCCGGCGGGGTGCGCTGCTATGGTGGGTGGCAAGCCGGAGGGGCTCGCTGCTGCAGCGGGCGGCGGTGGGCGGTCGTAGGGCCGCGCCGCGTAGGTGGCTAGGCGTGCTTTAGTCTCCTCTAGAACGCCGGTGGCCAGGCCGTGCTCTCCGCGTAGGTGAGGAAGTCTTAAGCTTGAGCCGCTGACGCTCCTCTCTTTCCCTCTTCTCTGTCGAAGCACCGCCATGCCGCTCGACGGCGAAATTCATCGCTGTTATTCCATCTTCGCCCAATTGTCCGCGCTCCCAGCTCTGCCTAGTTCTTGAGGGCCTCCTCGAACCATTGTAGCCACCTCTCGCCGCCGTAATAGCCTTCGGCGCCGGTTGCCGCCGCGGTCTTGCCACCATGGCCGCCATGGGCACCTCACCGTGGCTCCACTCGTCATCCTGTTTATTGTTTTAGCTCCCATGCAACTCCATAATGCTCATCGGCTCCATTTGTTTATCTCTACCGCACAAGTCACGCCGGAACGGTGACCTCTCCACCAATTCACGTCGCTGCACGCGCCATCACCGCCAGCCATCTAGCTCCGCCTCGTCCCCGGTTCAACCAAGCAACGCATCGACATTGCAGACCGTTCTATATAAGCCGGAGCACCGCCGCACCGCCGTTCTATGCCGCACCGCCGTGGCTGCGGTCGAGCTCGAGTCTGACTCTAACTCGTTCATCACTGCAGTGTACTCGATCAGGCGTGCTCCGATCGTGCTTCGTCATCTTGAGCTGTATGGGATCGCCGGCGTGCTCGGCTCTCCTCCCTGGTCCCTGTTGTGCTTTGCTCTTCGGCCTCCTGTTCTCTGGCGTGTGCTTCTCTGTCAACAGTGGTGAGCTCAGCAAGAACTTTTATGAGCTTGTGTGGAACTGTGATGAATTTGCTTGTGTGAAACTTGCATTGTGAACTAAGTCTACTAAAAAATGTGATTTGTATTACTAAAGCATTGATGAATTTGCTTATATTCTTCTATTTTCAATCTTCTTTTGTAGACTATGGAGGATCGAGGCCACTGTATGTATCTTAAGAACCATACTTGTGGTGAGTACTTGGAAGGACTAAAATATTTCCTAGCTGTTGTCGAGGCGGACATGAGGAATGGACATAAGTCATCTATGTTATGCCCATGAGTTGACTATAAGAATGAGAAGCAATACCCGAATTCGTTCTTGGTCCATGCCCACCTAATTCTTCGAGGCTTCATGGATGACTACAGATGTTAGAACAAACATGGAGAAGAAGGTATCAATGACCGAGATGGTGAGGAAGGACTTCATGAAACTTGTGCTGGTGGCGAGGAAGCACCCTTTGGCAATGAGGAACTATGTGATGATGATGTAGCAGAGATTGCTGCCAGCCCTGTCCGTACGGTTGAGAATTTGGAGGAGATGGTGCGTGATGCCTTTGGCTTTGATGAGTACACTAGTGCGGAGTTCAAGAAGTTAAAACAGCTATTGGAAGATATGAAGACACCACTCTATCAGAGTTGCAATGAGAGGTATACAAAGTTGTCCGCTTCACTAAACCTTCTCCAATTGAAGGCGGCACATCACTGGACTGACAAGGGCTTCAGAGATTTGCTAGAAGTGCTCGGAGATATGTTTCCCAAGGCGAATCAGATACCCAGGACTACATATGAGGCCAAGAAGATTGTTTGTCCGATGGGATTGAAGTTCGAGAAAATTCATGCTTGCAAGAATGACTGCATCTTGTTCCATGGTGACAATGTAGCCCTCAATGAATGCCCCAAGTGTGGGACCTCTCGTTACAAGCGAAGAACTAACGAGAGTGATGATGGTGAGGAGACGCGCTGTAGAGTTCCTAGGAAGGTTGCTTGGTACTTCCATATAATTCCTCGCCTGAAACGTTTGTTTGCAACCTCCAAGGATGCACGACTATTGAGCTGGCACTCGAATGGGCGGATGGTTGATGATTATATACGGCACCCAGCAAATGGTATTCAGTGGTGAGTCATTGATTTCAAGAATCCAACTTTTGCTGATGAGCCAAGGAATCTTCGGTTTGCACTCAGCACGAATGGCATGAACCCATTTGGTAACATGAGTAGCTCACATAGTGTCTGGCCCATGCTGTTAACTATCAACAATCTTCCCCCATGGCTATGTAACAAGAGGAGGTACATGATGATGTCAGTTCTGATATCTGGTCCGTGTCAACCAGGTGTTTACATCAATGTGTATCTGAGGCTGCTTATTGATGATTTCAAGGAACTCTGGAAAGAGGAGGGTATCAGTGTGTACGATGGGTTCAGGAAAGAACATTTCAACCTACGTGCCATGCTCTTCACCACTATCACTGATATTCCAGGACATTATAACGTGTCTGGGCAGAGCAAAGGAGAAAAAGACTGTTTTTAGTGCTTAGATGACACTGAGACTGTTTGGCTGAATAACTCAAAGAAGAGGGTCTATGTAAGGCACCGACGTTTCCTTCCTAAGTCTCATCCATATCGAGAGATGAAACGTTAGTTTGATGGCACGAGGGAGACAGGATCTGCACTAAGGCATTTCAGCGGGCAACAGGTATGTGACTAAGTGGTAGAGGATACCATGCCTAAAGTTGACCCGGAGAGCACTGTCCTTAGAAAGCGAAAGCACAGTGCAAAAGCAAAGAGTGCCATTAAGAAGAGGTGGAAGAAAATATCAATCCTGTGGGAACTGCCTTACTGGAAAGACATAGCGGTCCGCCACAGCATCGATCTCATGCACATGAAAAAGAATGTTTGTGGGAGTTTGCTTGGGACACTCAGGAATGACAAATGGAAAACCAAGGACCATCCAAAAGCAAGAGCTGACCTAGAGGAATTGGTCAAACAGCCTGAGCTGCGTCCTGAAGGTACCAGTGCCCAGCCACCTTTATCTGCCATAAACCTAACCCAAGAAGAGAAGCAAGAATTGTGCAACTTCTTTTGTAGTGTCAAACATCCCTCTGGACATGCAGCCAACATCCAAAAGCTTGTGCCTACAAGAGAAAACAAGATGCTTCCCATGAAGGATAATGATTGCGATGTCATGCTCACAACCATGCTTGCAGTTGGTATCCAGAACATATTGCCAGAAAAAACCCGAAAAGCAATCATGAACCTCTGATTCTTCTTTAATGCAATCTCTCAGAAAGTCATTGATGAAGAATCACTGGATGATCTTGAAAAGAACATGTGTGAGACCATGTGTCTCCTTGAGGCTTACTTCCCGCCGGCTTTCTTTGACATATCTGTCCATCTCATTGTACATTTGGTTAAGGAGATCAGGTATCTTGGACCAATGTTCCTCCACCACATGTATCCGTATGAGAGATTTATGAGTACTCTGAATAGATATGCCAAGAGTTAGGTCCATCCCAAGGGAAGCATGGCACAGTGCTATTCTACTGAGGAGGTGGTTGACTGGTGCCTCGGTATATCCATGTCTCGCCATGAGGGAAGGCTATCGGGCAGAGGGTGTGTTGGGGAGAAGCGAATTACTCCAGAGAGTGATGCCTATGAACGAGCCTACTTTCTAGTGTTGCAGCACACAGCAGAGGTAGAACCTTGCATCGAAGAGCATATAGGGATGTTGAGGTAACAAAACCCGCACCGGGGTGAAGCTTGGTTAGCGAGGGCACATATGAGTGGGCTCAACATCTGGTTCAGAGATCGACTTGCCAGTTCAACCTCTTGCATAGATGAAAGGCTTCAAAAGCTGGCAAAGGGCCCTTTCTTCATAGTCACAACCTATCAAGGCTATGACATAAATGGCTACACCTTTTACATAATTGATCAAGACAAGAAGAGCGTGTACCATAACAGTGCTATTCGTGTAGATGCATTTGACAGCAAGATGCAGAAGACAACGTACTATGGTCAGATTGAAGAGATATGGGAACTCTTGTATCCAGGCTTCAAGGTGCCCATTTTTCGGTGTCGATGGGTTCAGGGAAGTTAGGGTGTCATGAAAGATAGGTATGGCTTCACTACAGTTGACCTCCAACAAGTTGTGTACAGGGATGAGCCATTTGTAGTCGCAAGTCAGGTTTCCCAAGTCTTCTATGTGTGTGACACTAGAAACAAGAAACGACAAGTGGTTCTTCTTGGAAAAAAGCGGGTTGTCAGACTTGAAAATCCAGTGGACGAGGAAGAGTTCAATCAATCCAATGAAGTGCCTCCTTTGGATACTTCCATCCTCCCTATGATTTTGGCGAGCGAGCTAACTCCATACCTAAGAGATGGCCGTAAAGAGGATGCCCCCATGGCAAAAAGATGCCAAAAACGCTAAGTACGCAAAAAAGATGCTCATGTGAGTTTTTGAACAATGTGCAATCTCATTTTTTAGTTAACAATATATATTTTTTATCGCTCTTATTACTTACAATGTGATGTTACTTTCAGGAACTTTCGGGAAGAGATTATGGCTAATGAGAGAAGTTCATGTCATCTATGATGTAAACTGTAGAATGAGAGATGTAAATTGTACTAGATAAATTCATGTCATCTAGGACATGAGCCCACAACTCCTTGTAATGTTAGGCCCACAACTCCTTGTAATGTCCCACAACTCCTTGTAAGACTACTTCATTTGATCTCTCATGACTTGCATATGAGCTTCTGAGTACATGAGCACTATTCTAGTACATGAGCATCCAGTACATGAGCAGCATATGAGCATCCAGTACATGAGCATCCAGTATATGAGCACACAACACATACATGAAACCAGCAGCATCTAGTGGCTGCTATGGTCATCACAGCAACACAAATAAGCACCACATATAACATATATATACATAGATAGCTAATCAACATAAGGTGTCCATACATGAGCATCCAGTACATAGATAGCTAATTAACTTAAGGTTTCCATACAGCATATCACCACACATAGATGAGCCGGTGTTCATACAACATATTACCACATAGTATATATATTAACTAAGTTAAGGTAACTTAAGGTCATCACTGTTTCAATGGCATGATTACTTCGGCTTCTTAGCCACGACATCGTCCACCTCCTTGATTAGGCCCTCCAACTTCTGAGACATGGCCGCCAGCTGGGCACCCATGGTGTCCACCATCTCCTTAGTATGTCCCTTCTCCTCCTTCTCAGCTAGCATCTTCTTCAACTCTTGTGTTTTCACAGCTTGATTGTTCAGCAACTCCTTGACATCGACAAGCGTCCAGTGAATAGCCAAGAGCCTTTCCTATAGTGGTTTCATAACCACTGCCTGTAGGGCCTCATGCATGGTAGCTGGAGGGACCACAAAAGATGGAGCCTACATATATGCACAGAAACAGTTATCAAATAGGTAGCCATGTGCTGAAACTAAAATGAAAGTGAAAGTCTGAAACTGAAACTGATTGTTGCTGTTGCTAAGCTTGACAGATAGCACATTCCACTTAACTGAAGGTTCATATGTTAGACTGTTGAAAATTAAAGACAGTAAATTCTTAACAATGCTATTTTCTGAACTAAGATAACCGAAGCCTGAACTATTTTTCTGAAAGTGTTCAGTAAACATGAAACACTGATAACTTTGATCAAATCCTCAAGTACAGTGACAATTGACTCAGGCAAGTTCACTTATCAATCAAACACAATTCCAGTCCCACCAAACACAATTTCAGCCCCACAATGACCACGGGAGCATCGCTCAACCAACAACAAGTAATTCCTCATCAAAATGTAGGAAACATATGCCAAACACTAACTTACAGTTAACTGAAATAAATTCAAATAAATTTAAACACATAACACTCTAATAACTGAAACATTCAGATAGCATGTGCAAATTTAGGTCACACTAGAAATTGCTAATAGATGCAAATAGCCTCTAGTGATGAAGGATGCATCAGAGAATGATACTGCAATGCTGAAATAGAAAATGCAAGAAACATATCAGGCCAAATACTA